TGAGGTGATTCAAAGTGTGTTGGATAGCTAACGCAAAGGGTTACAATTCTTCTCGAAATATCAATTTTCCAATTCAAATGTTTGTTAAGCAAAAAATGGGTCTCAATCTTCAATAGAAAATATGGAGCATGGAAATGATGTGTAAAAGTATTTTGACTAAATTCACTCATTTGACTTCAAATTCCATTCAGTTTATCCTATGTCATCTTTAATCATCATTTTATGGTTCAAATCAACTATTGGATATTTACACTTTGGTTTACAAACTTTCAAGCCAGTTGTAAAACCATCATTCTTTTTCCTTCCTTCCTTTTTCCAAGCGCTTATAGATTGGTCTTAAACTGAAACAAAAGGAAATTAACCCAAGTTAAGTAAAAATAACACTTTCACAATATAAAGCTTAATAATATGGCCTGAATAAGTGCATAAAATGCACTTATTGGGACTAACTTGAAATAATTTGGAAGATAGAAAATAAAGCTTGTGATAGCAAGGCTAACAGTCATGTGGTGGCAAGGAGTTAATTTCAAACAAAAAAACATATTTTGGTTTATAACCATGCAACCACAATATTGCATGGTTATTCGAAGCAAAAATTATTTTGTTTCCAATTTTGATTCAACTTCTTTATGGAAAGCGATTAGGGCGTTGTTCTTACCTAATCTTGGAGCCTATAAATACATACATACATTCATCCAACAACTAAAAGAAGGCTTGTGAGGAGTCAATACACATATTATTCAACCCAAATGAGTCTCTTAGGTTACAAATTCATAATTCTTACAAAGAGGAAAGCCAAATAGGAAGTTATCAATCTAAAAACCCGTATTCTTTCATAGCTTTATAGGAACTTTGTTATAAAAGACATCCATACCCATTTTCATACATCCGTTGCTTGGATTGAAGAAGAAGAAGAAGAGATTGATCAAGAAGTCATTAAAGAGATTCAAGACTTTCAAGATTTATTTCCATCCTCTTTTCAATTTTTCATATCGGGTAATGTTGTATCAATTATTTTGTGTTCTTGTAATTAATTTAATGCTTGGCTAATTGTGTAGATTTTAGAATAACATTGAACCCTGCTTCTGAATTTTTTATATTTAATTTTGGATTTCGGCATTAAAACTTGTATTTTGGTTTCGAATGATTGTTAGGAACCTTGTGCTTTTCAACGCGGCTACATGCATCAACAAAAGACTTTCATTGCAATTTTAAAGTTAAGAAATGTTTTTTTATGTTAATATCATTATTCACTTGTTTAGATTTTTTTAATCAAGTGGGTTTTAGTTGTAAACTCCAATTATTTTCTTTAAAAACTATTAAATTACTTGATTCCTCATCACAACTCATTTTCTTTAAGAAATTACATAATAATAACTCGAAATGTTACATTATTTAATTTTTCTCTTTTGTGTACAACCAAAATACGTTGACTTATATTATCCAAGGTCTAAATCTTCCTCGAAAGCAAGAAAGCAGATGCCCAACAATTACCATGTCAGGTAAGCGTGACTAAAAGTAAGCTTTATAATAATGTATTAACAAAAACATATTATAATAGCAATAGGAACAGAATAATTGAAAGTAAATAATAAAGAAAAATTGATGTATTACAATAATATTATGATGTTTCCCGAGCTTTCTGTGAAGCGTCCGATGTCAAAATCTAATTAGACTCTTTACGGGTCATCGTGGACTTGCTTCCCTTTGTATATCTAGAAAACGTGACTCTTCAAGTACGCTCGACCTCAATTAGGAAAGGTGGTCGTACAATCACTATGTTTTGAAATCATAATATAAAATATTTGATTAGAAGTATTTCGCTGACCTTAGAGTGAGTAGACCCAAGGTTCACGTAGGGGCTCAAGTAGTAGTGGTACGTGGGAAAATGGTGGTAGTTCAGGTTATATACCTTTCGTTTCTACATTCACATTCTTGAAAATTTTGCTCAATCTATACAAGAGTAGATAAACACGCAGGACCTCTCAAACAATTGGCAAGATTTGACTTATATAACTTAGGTTGAGGTCTAACATAAGGTTAAGATCTAACGAGATGTCGAGCATACCTGTTTCGTGGGTTTTTTGCTCGCTAACAATTAAAAATGGAATCAGACGATTGTGTAAGGGACAAATCTCTTGGAACAAAGTCCCAAAAAGGGGTATTTATTGAATATGAAG